AAAAATTATTTCAACAATAAACAAGGTGTTCCATATTTCCTTTCAGATAGCAAGTGTAATATGCCTCTCTATGCCCATATGTAAAAATGTATGAGAAGTTACAAATGACATGATACTATACAACATGGGAAAAATGCTTCTTTATGCATGTATGTTAAGTGTGCATGTCAAATGCGATGCAAATCAATGATAAAGATCATATGCATACTCTGAGAGTATCAATTCACTTCGTCCTCCCAGTCACTTAGCACTCGACACTCGGCACTCACACTCAGTAGGTACCTGCGCTCACTGGGGTGTGCAGACTCTGGAGGGGCTCCTACATCCCAAGCGCTATAATCAGCACAGACAACTCATGTGCTGCACGGATAACTTACGTGCCATAATATCAATATCTGAAATCACACGGATAACTCACGTGCTGCACGGACAACTCACGTGCTATAGTAAGCCAATCTGACCCGCTGCGGCATGCAGCCCTATCCCATAATCATCCTCATAAATCAGGCCATCGGCCTTACTCAGTCATCAATCTCTCCAGTCTCTCGGGCTCACAATGTCATGATACTAGCCCGAAAATAATGATATGATACATCAATAAATAACAACAGAGACTGAGATATGATATGTATGTGAATGCGTATGACTAAGTATGTAATGCAATGAAAGCATATTACTCAACAAAAGAAATGACCTCAGTGGGTCCCAACAGGATAAACATGTAGCCTAGACATGGTTTCTAACATAATCACAACTCGATAACTCTAGTACGTAGAGATTTCATGATTTCATACAAGTTCAGGTAACTACACAATACCACAGAAATAACGGAAATCATAGTTCACACGGTGCACGCCCACTCGCCCATCAACTAGCATGTGCGTCACCTCAAAATCAAATACATAACACGTATATTCAGGGTTCATACCCTCAGCTTCAAGATTAGAAGAGTTACTTACCTCAAACAAGCCAATACCAATGACGAGCAAGCCAAACGATGCTCCAACTATGCCATCACGTACGTAGCGACCTCCGGGCAGCTCAAACTAGCCAAAAGCAACTCAAATACATCAAAAAAAGCGCAAGGAAATAATTTCAAATGAAAAAGGTCGAATTTTTAATCAAAAGCTCAAAATCGGCCAAAACGTCCAACCCGGGCCCACACCTCGGAACCCGATAAACTCACAAAATCTGATAACCAATTCAATTATGAGTCCAACCATACTAATTTTACTCAAATCGGACTCCGAATCGATGTTCAAGACTCAAAAATTAACATTATGAAACATTAGGCCAAACCCCCCAAATTTCTCTTTTGGAACCCTCAATCAAATGTCAAAAATGAAGATAGATTCATGATATAAAATCAAAAATGAGTAGAGAACATTTACCCCAGTTCACATGGTAAAAATTGCCTCAAGAATCACCTCAATCCGAGCTCCATAGCTCCAAAAATGATAAAATGGCCGAAACCCCCGAAATGAGATTTAATAGAATCTGCCCAGCTATTACACTTCGCGAACGTAGACAATTCCACGCGTTCGCATAGAGCAAATGCTCACCAGCTGAAAATTCTCTTTCGCGAACACAACACTATAGACGCGAACGCGATGAACAAACTCCTAGAGCTACGCGATCGCATACCACATTTCGCAATCGCGAAGAACAAACTCCTGACATCCTCAGGCCTTCCTTCCTACTACACGAACGCATCACTAGGCTCGCGAACGCACTGAACAAATGCCTCAACCTCCGCGAACGCGACTCTTGACTCGCGAATGCGATGAACAATCCTACTCATCCATCCAATAACCCTACGCGATCGCGTTCTATACTCCGCGATCGCAATTAAGGAAACCAGAAGCCCAGAATTCTGCAGAACCGGCAATGCAATTATGAAGGAAAATAGCTCGAAATCAATTCGCAACACGCCCGAGACCCTCGGGATCACGTCGAACATCCCAACAAGTCCTATAACATAACACTGACCTACTCGAGGCCTCAAAACACACATAACAACATCAAAACGACGAATCACACCTCAACTCGAAATCAATGAACTTGAAACTTCACGCTTCCATAACCGATGCCGAAACCTATCAAATCACGTCCGATTGACCTCAAATTTTGCACACAAGTCACATTTGACATTACAGACCTGTTCCAAGTTCCAACTTCCGGAATCGGAATCCGACCCCGATATCAAAAAGTCCACTCCCGGTCAAACTTCCCAAAATTTCAACTTTCGCCATTTCGAGCCAAATTCAACCACGGACCTCCAAATCAAAATTCGGACGCGCTCCTAAGTCCAAAATCACCCAACGGAGCTAACAGAACCATCAAAATTCCAATCCGAGGTCAAATGCTAAAAAGTCAAACTTGGTCAGCACTTTCAAATTTAAAGCTCCCTAGCTGAGAATCATTCTTCCAAATCAGTCCCGAATAACCTGAAAACCAAAACCGATGATTCACACAAGTCACAATATATCATACGGAGCTACTCACGCCCGTAAACTACTGAGCGAAGTGCAAATGCTCAAAATGATCGGTCGGGTCGTTACATGTATGGTACATCAACATACAAATTAAAAATAAAATTCGTACAAATTTAATGCAAATTTGAATATCTACAACAACATATATAGTAAAAATAAATTTCATACAACTAATTATATAGTATACAACTTATTTACAACTTATCTACGACTTTCATACATTATTTATACCTAGTTAAACACAACTACAATATCATACAACTTAAATATAATTTTCATACAAATTTTATACAATGCCTTATGTATGTATTTTGTATATGATTTGTATATATTTTGTAAGTAGCGTGTTCTTCTTCCACTCTAAAATTCCAGTCAAAACTGCCTCTCTTTAAATAATTTTGATACATATCAACAATTTTATGTAAAAATATAGTACTTATAACTTAAATACAAATTTCATACAACAATTCATACATTATACGACTATTTTTTAACTTTTATACAATATTCAAATAAAAATATATATAATTACAACAGAATACAACTTAAATATAATTTACATACAACTTTAATATAATTTTGTAAGTATATTGTATATGTCATGTATTCTTCTTCTTCTTCTTCTTCTTCTTCTTCTTCGAGTTTCAATATGAAATTCCGCCAAAATCAACTCTAACTTCACCAAACACCCTCAAAATTGAGATATAAACTCCAAAAAATATTTTTAATTATTTACAACAATACCCAATCCAAATAAACAATAGTTTTTAAAAATCCAAATTCGAATTCAAAGCTTCAGAGCTTTTTAATGGCTGTCAATGGTGGAGAATCAACTACCTTCAAAATTTATTGATTGACAATTTCAATTCGAACACCAATTGTGCAACATGAAAGAAAATTGTTAAGTTAAAACTCTATATTATAGCAATTGAAATTCATTGATGAATTTCATGGAAAAAAAGGATGAAAAGCAGAGAAAAACGAAGAAAAAAATTAGGGAAAGAATAGAGAACGAGAGAAAGAGAGAGAGAGAGAGAGAAAAAGAGATAGAGAGAGAGAGAGAGAGCACAAAGATGGAGATTCTATATTCAATTCATAATATAAAGTATACTCATTTAAAACTAATGAGGGTAATAAAGTTTCATATAGTATAAGAAGGTAAAAATCACTTATTGTTTTATTGTTTTTGGTGCCTGTACCGTTGACAATAGTATTAAATTTGAGATTACGAATCTCCAGTATATTATGCTGGATCGGTCCGTGTTGCAGTAAAATAATGGCTATTTTTCAATGACTTTGCAAACGCTTACTATTTTTCAGTTACCAATCCAAAAACTGGCTAGCCCGTGCTATTTTCACGTATTTGCGTGTATAGTGTTGAGTTGATGCGCATATTATTCAGACCAACAAAAAATGCCTACTTGAGTGTATTTATATAATACATAAAACATAGTTGCTGCACATATTATTTGGGGCCTTAAAAAGACTTGTTTGCTTACTTGCATGTTCATACTTAACTTATAAAGTATCTCAAGTATTAAATCCTGCTTGAGTTAATTAAATTATGTCCACAAGGGAATCATGTTTATGCAAATATTCAGAGGGGCCTCACACGTTTCCGTTATTCACTTGAACCCTTACCTAACCTAGTATTTCTGATAACATAGCCTAATGAAGTTAACCATTGCAACATTTAGTAATAGTAATAATTTAACTGCTCTAGCATATGTAGTAACTTGTTAGGTGACGATTTCTTAAGTATTTAAATCATAAATATATTGCACTTTTACTTAATAATAGGGTGCGACATGTAGAATTTAAAAGTTTCTTTTAATAAATCTTAAGTGGAGAACTTCTTTTCTCAAATAATGATGAAGTTGAGAAATATAAAAAAAATATAAGAAAATACTTAAAAATATTACTTAGTAATTTAACATTAACACAAAAAATAAAAATTTAAATTCGTAATCTCTGTGAGTTGCATGACCAAAATATTTAAAATATAAAAGCTGACACATAACTGAGTTATGCTTCCAACCAACTAATAATCAATATTAAGATTATTAAAGTAATATAGCCTATTAACCCCCAAGAATTAACTATAGAGTGGAAAGAATAAATTAAACAAAGCCTCAAAGTAGATAAATAACTAATTAGGTGCAAAAGTTTTTTCTAAATTGTTTAATAGAAAACCTTAAATGACTTAGGTGCATATTTACAAAATTATAGCATTTCAATTCAACATTACTAATGTTAAATTTAACTCTTTGGTACTCTGAACCGCACCATTATCTTTTTAGGGGGACGGGAGTAGATGAGTAATTATAATTTGGATGATTGTGGTTAAAAAGATAAACTTTGTGAAATTAAATGGGCTAAACTGAAAATAAAAGCACAAATCCGTGGACCAAAGATATTTTCCTCCAACTATAGGTTGTAAATTTCAAATTATCGAAAAAAGTACTGGCAATAAAGCAAGTTAATGGGAGCACCTAGTGTCACAGTATCAGTGACAGGGGTAGAGTGCAGTTCCTCTTAATTCTTCAAAAATCAAAAAATGAAATATAGCGGGAACACATCCTTACATCTCTCTCTCTCTCTCTCTCCCTCTGATTTTTTTTTTTACTTTCCCTACGCTTTCTACAATATCTGAACCAGATTAGAATTCCATTAAAATCCGCTTCAAATCTCCTCGGCTTCTTCTTTTGGTGTTTCTCCTCTTCTCTACAAAACAACACAGCCATGGCGAGAACCAAACACCTAGCCCTACGCAAACAAAGTCGCCCACCAAGTCGCCCTACAGCCACACGTTCTGGTTAGTGAAATTACTTAACCTCACACTCGTCTTCCTGAATTTTTAATCGGTTAGTGCGGAATATATATTTTTTCACAGTAGGCTCAGATTTAGTTAAACAATATTTATTAGTCGAAAAAAAAATCAACTATATATATAGCTAGAATGAGAGCGTGTGTTGCCTTTTGTGTGTGTGAATGTCTACACAAGCATATATAGTTCGTTTTTAGTTTCCGAGTTTAATTTTTGTTCAGTTAATAGTCAGTTGAACCCTAACTTTGGTGATGTTATACCTAAAATTTCAGCTGCAGCAGCTGCATCTTCAGCGCCTCAGTCGGTATGCTAATAACTCTGATTTCTGGGTTGTTTCGCAAATTTGAAATTATTAAGGTTATTTATTTGCTTTTTGTTTGGGATGAATCAGACGCCTACAAGAACAAGTCAGAGGACTGCACCTTCAAGTGAGCGTATATACTTGTAAAATTAATGTGCATTTCTTCACTTCTAAATGATGTTACTAAATGATGGGAGAATATTTGTTTGTTTTCAGCTCCGGGGCGGACGCAAAAGAAGAAGACTCGTTACAGGCCAGGGACAGTTGCGCTTCGAGAAATTAGGCGCTTTCAGAAGACATGGGATCTTCTTATTCCAGCTGCTCCTTTCATCAGACTTGTAAGTTTTCATTGCTGTCTCTTAGCGCCTCTGTCCACATGATTATTTGAGCTTATCAGCCACATGATTAGATGAAATAGGGGAAACTCCAAATCAATCATAGCTCGATTTTGTGCTTCGTTACCATGTGATTTGGCTAAATGGGAGAATGAAGCTTAAAGCCAAAGCTGAATAGTTGTGGTTTTCTTATTTGATGTAGATTACAATGAGAGGGCTATCATTGTTATGCCTTAATTGAGTGGACAATAGGTGAATTACTGTTGCACTAGCACTTGCGAAGAAGCTAATGTTAAGGGTTTCAAGGGGCAGAAGTTAATTGATGAGTATCAGTGAGTGAGACTAAATTGAAAATAAAATAAAATACTGAAGGGATGAAGAAAATACTACAGATCGGAGAGAGTAAGCCCTTTGAAAGAGGGAAAACAATCTGCATCTATAGCAAGCCGAAATTGACGTGCTACTCCATAACTCAGTTTCTCATTTTCCTTTGGACTGCATTAAGATGCACATTCACCTATTTTCTAGGATTTACTTTCACAATTGAGAATTTACTGATGTTAACAAACAGAAGGAAGACGAATTCATTCTTTTCTTTGAGTTTATCGTTTCTCTCTATTTTGTTTAAGGTCAGGGTTAGCTGGGCTCAATTTCCATATCAATTTGACCAGTATTGTTATTATGCACTATTGTCCAAAGGAAGGTTATTTGTTGTAACGCACAAGTTCTCCCTTTCTATTTTGATTTCGGTTGGGATTGGAGTGGCAGACCATTTATGATTAGCCTGCCTTACAAAAGTGAAAACCAGTTATCCCTATTCAATTAGAGAGGAGTTGCTTATGTAAGAGATTTTCTGACTTCAGATTTTAAGAAGGTGTTCTACGCTCTACATTTCAAGAAGCCCCTTGGACTTGGTTCATGGTTCTGGCTGAAAATGTGGACTAAGGAGTGCATGCTAAAATCTACAGTCTGACCATCTGTAGCTGACTTTCTTCTAGATGTAAATGTGTTGTAGAACTGTTATCTTTGATACCCTTGATGATAAATGGTTTAACTTATCCAAATAGTTACACATTTAAATCTTTGCTTTTATTAATTTTTCACCAAAGCTAACTGTTTTTTCCCCTCTTTCTTGTCTGGGGCAGGTTAAAGAAATTAGTCACTTTTTTGCACCAGAGGTAACTCGCTGGCAAGCTGAGGCTTTAATAGCTCTTCAGGAGGTACTACAACTTCTAAGAATAATAAATGGATCTGTTAGCTGGTATTTGGATCATTGCATTTAAGTTATCTGTAGGAACCATGTGTCCATGAAGAGGACAGGGAAAGAGATTCACGAATATACTTGCCCTCATAAATCATCTAGTAGTTTTATATCAACAACATATTTAGCTTGGAATAGTCTCTGCTCCATATACCTATTAAAAATATTTTAATGTATTTTAGAAAAATTTTACTCTTAATTCAGAGTGTGCTTAGTAATCTCCTCTAAAAGAATTCTTCAAGTTCTAGAAAGTTACATCAGTTCCTTAACAAAATAAAGCATGTGCAATTGTGTGGTCAGGTAGTGACTGAGTTATGAGAAGGGCCAATCTATTATCAAAGCGATGTTCTTCTTTTTGTTAGCACTTTAGCATACAGCAATTGATAGGCAACCAAAGATGGGCAAGGCCAACTAGTTAGCTAAGGAGGTTGGAGTTTCTGGAATATTATTGTACTTGGAGATTTCTAGTACAAGCTTTTGCTCCATGAAGGTTTTTCTACTTTGATTATGGTTGTGTATTTTTCCTTTATGAATCCTGCTCAACTAAGTCACTTTCTTTACAAACTGCAAAATACTATTAAGGTTTATTAATCAGGCAAGTTGAAAATAAGCACTACTTATCTGTTGGGTTTAGCTTAGCTAAGCTAATGTCCTGAATGGTACTACCCACAAATAAAGTTGCTACTTGACTTATTTGGCTTCTTATGTGAAAATGTTCTACTTGAGAGGGGGCGTATATTAGTTCAAAGTCTCATTGATTTCTATTGGCTTTTTTTTTGTTGTCATGAATTTCGGTAGTTATATATGCATCAATATACGACTGATCTTGCAGTGACAACTTGGCACCTTCTCCTTCCATGAAGCTAGTCAATTCTGACACAGGTTGTCGCTAGCGTGGAATACCTTATTTTCTAAGTTTCCCAGCAAAAAATGAGGCATTGGGGAGAAAGGGCTTTCTTAGTGGTTATGCCCTTTGGCTTCCTTTAATATTCCCTTGAATTCTTTCTGCTATAACCAAAAGTCCTGTGTGCTCTATCCATTTCTGACTGCATGTATCTATAAGTGTAATTGCTATTAATACATGGATGTAATTTCTCCATTTTAGACAATGACATTCTGATGTCCAGTAGAAACAGGTGGACTAAAAGGATTTGTCGTGCTGTGATTATTAATGAAAGCAGTTAGGATTGGGCATCAACATAGTAAGTCCTTTAAGGTGGTAGGGCACTGTAAAGGACACAGCCATCGCTCGTTGTGGTTGCCTAAGCATCTGTCTTAGTACATCTCTCTGCAAGCATACACTTGGGCTTTCCTATGAGATTTTGTTTGAATCTGAAGAGCATCAATGATCTTATGAATTCATGTACTTCATAGGACCCTAGCAATGTTTCTGAAATCCATTGTCCTCTCCTCTCAGAAGCAGTGGTCGAATAACAGAGAGATATCATAGAGGAACAGTCAGCAGCAGAAACATGAAGTGTCTATTCAATGTCTAAATTCGTATATTTAGTGTTGATATGAACTATTATTCATCTTGCAAGCCGTAGCCATCTGGTGTAAAGTTTAGAGTGAAAGAATTTTATCCCATTCTTCATGCAACTCCCCTCATGTCGGAGCATTGTAATCATGTTCAAACACTGCCTATTCTGTCAGGCAATTTGTCTTTACTTGCGTGGACAGTGTAGTAATAGTCCTATGATCCTTGGAAAGCATACCTTTCTGTGGATTTTTTTCATTATTTAATGCATCATTAAAAATTGCCAAATGTAGATGTGTGTACAAAGTAAGAAAGTCTATGAATGCATAGATTCTTATCCGGTCAACATTATGCTTTTCAGCCTTCGCTTGTAAAAGTACCTTTTTTATGCTAAAATATAATTTTTTTGCTTCCTGTAATATATGTCATAACGAATACTCTTTCTTAATCACTATCAGTCAGAGTGATATAGTTTTCTTTGATGANATAAAGAACTCTAAAAATTAGCATGACATTTAAGTATAATTGGTATGCTAAGTGCATTATATCTTTTTCTATGTTGCAGGAGGAGCGGGATTATGAACAAGAAGAAAGTTATGGCGGATGGAAAGAGTCTTCTTATTGATGTGAAGCATCAGTCCGTCGATCAAATTGATGTTGTTCCTCATATTACCAATTTGATTCCAAACGTTGTGTTCCAATATATACTTAAATGAACATGTTGGGGTTTTCTTTTCCTTTTTTTTTTTTTTTTTTTTTGTTTTTGTTTTTTTATAGTGATATTTTTCCTTCTCTCCTTGGCTTTACTCTACACCCCCCTACTCATTTCCTTGTCGCTCTGGGGAATGGGCTGGCTAGGGCTGGTGCATCCAAAAACCCGTGTTTTAGGTTTCAGAGACCTGGTTGATTGTCAAACTCCTGGTCAGCAAATTTTGTTACTCTGTTATAGATTTTATCGGCCAAGTTAGCTGCTTCACCTGTATTATTGACAACCCCTCAGGGAAGAGGAGGAAAATAATCAAGAAATGACATACAAATGGATCACCAGTTTAAATGTTCTAATATGCTTTGTCTATTTCTTGTTAGTTTTGGTTTCATAATAGAGATTGTAACAAACCATCAATGTGCATATTTTTTGTGTCCTAATTTTGTTCAGTCCAGTTTACATTGCTAAAAACACAGTGAAATGAGGCTCTCTCTTCTATTGCTTCTTCCAAGTTAGCGTATTCCATAGGGATTCTTCCATCAGATCAGGTACACCGTATTTGGATACCGGAAAAGTCTGGGGTGTTACTGCAGTGAAAAGATAGTCCAATGATCTTTTAAATTAGTACTGGTAACAGAGGCGAGCAGTATGGCCTTAGGGGTTGTTTGGTTACAAGGATAAGGGATAAGATCTTTTAAACTGCCTAGAGTATTGTTTGCTTGGCAATGCTTGTCATATGATGTGCAATTTATAATTTTTCGTCTTTCTTGATGCTCAGTGAAAAAGGATTTTGAGCTGGCTCGACGACTTGGAGGAAAAGCACGACCTTGGTGAAGACCAGATTACCATCCTACCCCAACTAGATAATCGCACAGCTTCAGTTCAAAGAATCAGCCTCCACCTGGAGTCTATAAAGTTTAACTATCAGTACTTGCACATTGTTCCTATTTTTAACCATTACCTCCTGTAATAGAATGGGTTAATTATGGTACATGATCTTCAACTTTCCATACTGTAGTAGCAATTCTTACAACCACACTTTGACTTAGTTGGACGCTATGCCATGTGATTATAGTGGACGAGTTACCTATATGGCATGCAGAAAGTAATCTGTATTCTATGTTTTAGGCTGCAGAGATACATCCTTTTGCCTTATCAGTTGTCTCGTCTCAATTCTCTTTCTTTCTTTTTTTTCCTTAGAAGGTTCCTTGTGCTGAAGGAATGACAAGAACAAGTGAACAACTCAGGTCTTTACAGGGGATCCATTTTCGTTGGTGTCGTATTTGCTGAATTGGATATTGATGAAGATGGCATTTGAAAGTGGGGTGGGTGTTTTGCATTTTTACACTAAAGCTGTGTTTCTTGCAAGTTTACGCCCTTCACGACTCGTTTAGGAATAACCTTGGAGCATCACATTGGAATTATAACAAGTTTCTGTATTTGGAGCAAGTGTAGTTGGGGGTGCTTTCTGGCATATGTTCTTTTTGTAGCTATCAAGAATTGGGTGTATGTTGGTCCTCGCAATCAAGTTCTCAAGACTCATAACGATCAACGAAGATCGCATTTTTTCAGGGAGGACTTGATTTAATCTGGCACTCCTTATTTTGGAAATGAAAGAGTTCTGATTACGCTGTGCCTTAAACACAATGGGATAAACCTGACAAAAACTTCAATTCTCCTTCGCTTATTAAGTGAAAAATAGTCGTGGGCCTTAAATAAACGACATGACTGATTCTACGAAGCTTTGTTTTTATAGTAGTGGCCCGTAATGCTTTCCTTCATTTGCTTGCCTCCTTTCAGCTTAGAATGCCTAATGTAGAGACAATGGCATAACAGTTGTCAGGAGATAAAATTGGCGGAAAGATTATGTAAAACCTCAGTATCCTTCCAATTTAATTATCCATTGGCAAGAGTTTGCGCACCATTTATTGAAAACTATGAAAGAACCTTGTCTAAATATATAATATTGGAAGGAATGACAACTGCAAGTCAAAGGGAACGTGTAGTTTGTTTAGTTAGGACCAGCCGTTGTTTCATGATAACAAATGCAGACAAATCTGTCGAACCATTCAGGACAACTATAAAAAACAGAAGCTGTCCTAACTTGTTTCGCAACAAACTCTCTGTTATTCCTCTTTTCTTGACCCTCATTATTCTTATCTTTTATTTCTCAACTTTTTTACCTAAATGGATCAAAATCTCCATCATCAGCCCAAGCTCATGCACCACCGATGTTGCAGCCATGAAGGTACAACCCTTTGCTGAGGTTCAGTTTCTTTCTTGGCTTATGTTATAAGGGGACTTTACCTTTTTTCATTTTTACTATTTAACTTTTTGTTTTGTTTTGTTTGGAAACAGAGGTTAATAGTATGGAGTGGGAGTTCATCAGCATGAGCAAGCAAGAAGAAGATCTTATTTACAGAATGCACAAGCTTGTTGGAGACAGGTAAAGCTCCATAGCTCATTAAACTTGGAAAAGATTGTCATAAGCAGGGGCAGATGTAGTATTTGGTTAACTTTGGATACAGCAACTTGTTGTTCTCAGCTTGAAATATATATATGGTTGAGCAATTTTTAAAATAAATTTACACTAAGTTCGCACACATTGACACAAAACAGTAGTGGATATAATCAGGAGCAGACGTAGTGCATGATATGTTACTCCTGCTAACTTAAAATATTTGATCCGCATGTGGATTTAATTAGGCCTATCTCTTTGAATTCTGGGGGGTGTTAACAAAAATCATTTTGGTTGTGAAGGTGGGGACTGATAGCAGGGAGAATACCAGGGAGAACAGCAGAAGAAATAGAAAGGTTTTGGATAATGAAACACAGTGATGGCTTTGCAAACAAGAGACGACAATTAAGAAAAGTGTAGCTGCTATATATGATCTCTTCTCTTGTACTAAAAGTTTTTTAAGAAAGCAGATTCTCTTTTTCATTTTGTTTGGGGAATCCTGGGGACCCTACTCAATTTTATCATTTCATTCTTCCCTTTTTATTGTACTTCCACTTATGGATTTCTATTTTATGCCTTTCTAATATCTTTTGGTGGTGCTTCTAGTTTGGTTGTTATGTCCAGTATATGTAAACTAGCTCTAGGTGGCAATACTATTGTTGTGGGGGCTTAGCCAAATATGTATCCAGAATATTAACATTATTATATCCACTAATACTTTGTGGCGGTAGGTGCAATTAACAAATGTTCTTTTTCTAAGGAAAAGTATTCAACAATCTACTAATAAGGTTTGTCTTGGTTTCCATGTCTTATATTCACTTTAGGTCCAGACTAATTTGTATTCATGTCACATCAGATTAATTAAAGAAAAAAGTGCTCCCTATCAGAATTTTTCATTCCAGTAGAGAGATCATATCTATTAAGGTTCAATCTGCCAAATGTTGCACCCCATTCAAGGCGTAGAAATTTCAACTGGTCATGTACCTTTTAAGGGTTAATTTTAACTTTTATGCCTGTTTTTTAAAAAGTTTAGCAAATACATAAACATTCACCAGAACTTCTCTTCCTTCTTCTTGCAAATTATACCGGGTGCGTCAGGGCTGTGCATTATTTGGGTTAACCCAAAAATCCGAACCGATCCGCGTTATTCGGACTTGTTTGGATTGGATTTTAGCTTTTTGGATCGAATTTTGGATCTTTAATTTAATTATTTTGGATATCGGATCGGATGGTTTGGCTCAATTTACATTCAAACCGATCCGAAACCCGAAATATATATTTTACATATAAAAGTGAGGTGTGCCCTTTCAAAAATTCTAAGGTTTCTTTATTATTTTTCTCACTGTTTTTGCCTTTTCTTTCCTTTCAATATTAAAAGTAAAAGATATGGAAATGAATGAGTTTTGCTACTGAAAATTGTAGGCGAGCCTAACTAACCATTCCTAACTAATTGAGTAATGGCGAGAACCAAAGTGGTAACGTTCACACTTTTTCGTGGTTCTTATATTTGCTGTTTGGTGCGATACTGCTAGCTGCATTACAAACACCGCCCCAGTGGCCAATGTTGATGATCTAAAACCTTGTCATCTATGGAAATGCTCAGCAGTCAGCCCAAAGTCCAAACAGAAAACTACAGATGACTTGTTGTGCCTGTACTGCCTCGTGTATTTGTTTCGATCCTTTGTCAATGTTGCTGAAGAAACTGAAAGAAATTAAAACTGTCTTGCCTTTTAATTCATTACTTTGAATATTGTATATATGTTCAATCAAATGCGATGTATCTTTCATTTCTGCACGTGTGTTCAACCTTCACTTTAACTGTAGTTTCAATAAACAATGTTGTATCTTTCATTCTACTGATTATTGTACTAATACAATGTTACTTGTCCTTAGTAGTGACAAAATGGTTAAAAAAAATAATTATCCACCCATATTATCCATTAAAAAATGTGTTGGATAATGAACTTTTTAAAAACGGGACAAATATGGATAAGAACCATATTATTCATTTAGAAAATAGATAATTAATGAGTTTAATTTTTATATTTGTAAAGTTTCAAATTAGGGGTTCCTAAAGTTTGGGAGACTAGGAATTCTCCCGAGAGTGATCGTATTCAAGAAGTCATGGATAATATGAATATCCATATTATCAGTCGGTTAACCCGTTTTTTATCCGTATTTAAATATGGGTCGGGTTGGATAATATAATTTATCCGGTTTTGCATTACCCGTTTTCGACCCGCTCATATCCGACCCGACCGTTTTCTATCCTTACTTCTCCTCATCATTTCT